ACTACAGAGTGGAGATCTCTATTTTCTTCATCGTCTACATCATCATCATCGCCTTTTTTATGATGAACATCTTCGTGGGTTTTGTCATCATCACCTTTAGAGAGCAGGGAGAACAGGAGTACAAGAACTGCGAGCTGGACAAGAACCAGGTACAGGAACCCGTTGTGTGCAGCTTCAGCCGCTCTCATCCATCATCTGAAACTCTGGTCCAGTAGAGATGGTCCAAACCAAGCAGGTTTGGACCATGAGGACACAGCTTTAGGTGTTATTGTCCCAGTCTGAAGGTGTCCACCAGAACCAGACCATCTTGGTTTTCTGATGTTCTAATTAGCAGAGGAGCACTCTGTAGATGCCTTCAGTCTGTCTGGAGCTTTGGTTGGAATCAGTTTGGTGAACATCTAGTCCTTGGAGCTGGTGTTGAGAAATAAAAGCAGCTGTTTAACTCGGTTAGCTGGATCGGAGCGACAGGAGCATGTTGTCCGTGCTGTCACAAACGTAGGAGTTCTACTCTTCAGTAATGATTGAGGTAACAGGGTTGATCCTCTGAGGAGGTGGTGGAGGTTAGGTTGGACCTCCTGCTGTTCCTCAGCAGTCTGAGTTGGGTTTGGAGATCTTTTCATGGTGTCTGATGACCTTTGTGTTCCAGCGTCAGTGTGTGGAGTACGCCCTGAAGGCTCAGCCCCTCAAACTTTACATCCCCAAAAACCCGGTTCAGTATAAGTTCTGGTCCATCATCAACTCGACGGGATTCGAGTACGTGATGTTTGTCCTGATTCTTCTCAACACCGTGACTCTGGCGGTTCAGGTCAGTACACCTCCACCTATTCTTGACTATCGGTCGCGTCTTGGATGGAAACAGATGTGATGAGCTTCCGTTCCTACAGCACTATGAGCAGTCCAAGACCTTCAGCGACGTCATGGACATCCTCAACATGGTCTTCACTGGGCTCTTCACAGCGGAGATGCTCCTGAAACTTCTTGCTCTCAGACTGCGGGTGAGAAAACACTTCCCAGGTGAGGAAACGGCCACAGAGGTTCTGATGAAGAACGTTTCTCGTTTCCTTTCAGCACTACTTCGTGGATGCCTGGAACTCGTTTGATGCTCTGATTGTAGTCGGCAGCGTGGTGGACATCGTAGTCACCGAGTTCAGCGTGAGTACTCGGCTCCGCAGCTCCTCCCACCGAGGCGTGGAGATCATCAGCATCACTTTCGGCCCTGCGTGACTTTTACGTGTTTTAACAGCTTAGAGGCTCAAACGTTTAGCAGAAGGTTAACCGTTGCTGATGTTTGTCTCGTGTGGTTCCAGAGTGGAGAGGACAGCTCCCGCGTGTCCATCACCTTTTTCCGTCTCTTCCGAGTGATGAGATTGGTCAAGCTGCTGAATAAGGGGGAGGGGATTCGTACGCTGCTGTGGACGTTCATCAAATCGCTACAGGTCAGGGGTGGAGCCAGCACGAAGGTCATTATGTGGGAGTGGGGTTGTCAGAGGCTCAGAGTCATCATGGGGGCGGGGTTATCAGGGTCGTCATGGGGCAGGGTCAACATAGAGGGGGGGCCACCATAAGGGGCGGGGCAATCATGAAGATGGGGCCACCATAAGGGGCGGGGCAATCATAAAGATGGGGCCATCATAAGGGGCGGGGCAATCATAAGGATGGGGCCACCATAAGGGGCGGGGCAATCATAAGGATGGGGCCACCATAAGGGGCGGGGCAATCATAAGGATGGGGCCACCATAAGGGGCGGGGCAATCATGAGGATGGGGCCACCATAAGGGGCGGGGCAATCATGAGGATGGGGCCACCATAAGGGGCGGGGCAATCATGAGGATGGGGTCACCATAAGGGGCGGGGCAATCATAAGGATGGGGTCACCATAAGGGGCGGGGCAATCATAAGGATGGGGTCACCATAAGGGGCGGGGCAATCATAAGGATGGGGTCACTATAAGGGGCGGGGCAATCATAAGGATGGGGCCACCATAAGGGGCGGGGCAATCATAAGGATGGGGCCACCATAAGGGGCGGGGCAATCATAAGGATGGGGCCACCATAAGGGGCGGGGCAATCATAAGGATGGGGCCACCATAAGGGGCGGGGCAATTATAAGGATGGGGCCACCATAAGGGGCGGGGCAATCATAAGGATGGGGCCACCATAAGGGGCGGGGCAATTATTAGGATGGGGCCACCATAAGGGGTGGGGCAATCATGAGGATGGGGCCACCATAAGGGGTGGGGCAATCATGAGGATGGGGCCACCATAAGGGGCGGGGCAATCATGAGGATGGGGCCACCATGAGGGGCGGGGCAATCATGAGGATGGGGCCACCATAAAGGGCGGAGCAATCATGAAGATGGGGCCACCATAAGGGGCGGGGCAATCATAAGAATGGGGCCATCATAAGGGACGGGGCAATCATAAGGATGGGGCCATCATAAGGGATGGGGCAATCATAAGGATGGGGCCACCATAAGGGGCGGGGCAATCATGAGGATGGGGCCACCATAAGGGGCGGGGCAATCATGAGGATGGGGCCACCATAAGGGGCGGGGCAATCATGAGGATGGGGCCACCATAAGGGGCGGGGCAATCATGAGGATGGGGCCACCATAAGGGGCGGGGCAATCATAAGGATGGGGCCACCATAAGGGGCGGGGCAATCATAAGGATGGGGCCACCATAAGGGGCGGGGCAATCATAAGGATGGGGCCACCATAAGGGGCGGGGCAATCATAAGGATGGGGCCACCATAAGGGATGGGGCAATCATAAGGATGGGGCCACCATAAGGGGCGGGGCAATCATGAGGATGGGGCCACCATAAGGGGCGGGGCAATCATGAGGATGGGGCCACCATAAGGGGTGGGGCAATCATGAGGATGGGGCCACCATAAGGGGCGGGGCAATCATGAGGATGGGGCCACCATAAGGGGCGGGGCAATCATGAGGATGGGGCCACCATAAGGGGTGGGGCAATCATGAGGATGGGGCCACCATAAGGGGCGGGGCAATCATGAGGATGGGGCCACCATAAGGGGCGGGGCAATCATGAGGATGGGGCCACCATAAGGGGCGGGGCAATCATGAGGATGGGGCCACCATAAGGGGCGGGGCAATCATGAGGATGGGGCCACCATAAGGGGCGGGGCAATCATGAGGATGGGGCCACCATAAGGGGCGGGGCAATCATGAGGATGGGGCCACCATAAGGGGCGGGGCAATCATGAGGATGGGGCCACCATAAGGGGTGGGGCAATCATAAGGATGGGGCCATCATAAGGGATGGGGCAATCATAAGGATGGGGCCACCATAAGGGGCGGGGCAATCATGAGGATGGGGCCACCATAAGGGGTGGGGCAATCATAAGGATGGGGCCACTATAAGGGGCGGGGCAATCATAAGGATGGGGCCACCATAAGGGGCGGGGCAGTCATAAGTTTGGGGTCACCATAAGGGGTGGGGCAATCATAAGGATGGGGCCACCATAAGGGGCGGGGCAATCATAAGGATGGGGCCACCATAAGGGGCGAGGCAATCATGAGGATGGGGCCACCATAAGGGGCGGGGCAATCATGAGGATGGGGCCACCATAAGGGGCGGGGCAATCATAAGGATGGGGCCACCATAAGGGGCGGGGCAATCATAAGGATGGGGCCACCATAAGGGGCGGGGCAATCATAAGGATGGGGCCACCATAAGGGGCGGGGCAATCATAAGGATGGGGCCACCATAAGGGGCGGGGCAATCATAAGGATGGGGCCACCATAAGGGGCGGGGCAATCATAAGTTTGGGGCCACCATAAGGGGCGGGGCAATCATATGGATGGGGCCATCATAAGAGGTGGGGCAATCATAAGGATGGGGCCACCATAAGGGGCGGGGCAATCATAAAGATGGGGCCACCATAAGGGGCGGGGCAATCATAAGGATGGGGCCACCATAAGGGGCGGGGCAATTATAAGAATGGGGCCACCATAAGGGGCAGGGCAATCATAAGGATGGGGCCACCATAAGGGGCGGGGCAATCATAAGGATGGGGCCACCATAAGGGGTGGGGCAATCATAAGGATGGGGCCACCATAAGGGGCAGGGCAATCATAAGGATGGGGCCACCACAAGGGGCGGGGCAATCATAAGGATGGGGTCACCATAGGGGCGGGGCAATCATAAGGATGGGGTCACCATAAGGGGTGGGGCAATCATAAGGATGGGGTCACCATAAGGGGCGGGGCAATTATAAGAATGGGGCCACCATAAGGGGCGTGCAATCATAAAGATGGGGCCACCATAAGGGGCGGGGCAATCATAAGGATGGGGTCACCATAAGGGGCGGGGCAATCGTGAGGATGGGGCCACCTTAAGGGGCGGGGCAATCATGAGGATGGGGCCACCATAAGGGGCGGGGCAATCATAAGGATGGGGTCACCATAGGGGCGGGGCAATCGTAAGGATGGGGTCACCATAAGGGGCGGGGCAATCGTGAGGATGGGGCCACCTTAAGGGGCGGGGCAATCATGAGGATGGGGCCACCATAAGGGGTGGGGCAATCATAAGGATGGGGTCACCATAGGGGCGGGGCAATCGTAAGGATGGGGTCACCATAAGGGGCGGGGCAATCGTGAGGATGGGGCCACCTTAAGGGGCGGGGCAATCATGAGGATGGGGCCACCATAAGGGGCGGGGCAATCATGAGGATGGGGCCACCATAAGGGGTGGGGCAATCATAAGGATGGGGCCACTATAAGGGGCGGGGCAATCATAAGGATGGGGCCACTATAAGGGGCGGGGCAATCATAAGGATGGGGCCACCATAAGGGGCGGGGCAATCATAAGTTTGGGGTCACCATAAGGGGTGGGGCAATCATAAGGATGGGGCCACTATAAGGGGCGGGGCAATTATAAGGATGGGGCCACCATAAGGGGCGGGGCAATCATGAGGATGGGGCCACCATAAGGGGCGGGGCAATCATGAGGATGGGGCCACCATAAGGGGCGGGG